GTGACCTAGGAGACGGAACCACGTTTCTGTGGGGACCAGAAAGCCTAGCTGTTACGAAACTTGTGGTGTTGCTATTAACCAAAGGGTGCCAGCTACACCGGGGAGACGTCACGCCCCGCAGAATTCCCGGTGGAATTTCTGTACATAGTGCAACTAACAGGAGCCTCTTAGGATGCTCAGTCCCTTTACTGTCCACATACAAGTGCCAGACCACTGGCGAATCAGCTAGAGAGATGCAGGTGGGTCCCACAGACATGGCAGAGGTGCGGCTTCGCTGCTATTTTTAGCCATGCTAGTTAGATCCAAACTAGATCAGGTATGTCTGCAGGTGCTGCTGCACCCCCCCTTGTCCGCCATGCAGACATACCCCAAGTCTCACCCGTGTCAGTCAGGAAGCACCACTGCAGGCGGACATGGGCGAATCGGGCCCAGGTTGTCTCAAGAGCATCTCAGTCCACAGCAACCCTGTCAGACCAATCTGTCATTTGCCATGTGCCTTCTTAAGATTCTGATCCAAAGCCCAGAAGGTGAATCGGGGACCAATGCCAGACAGAATTTGGGGCCCAAATGCCTTTGGCAGCATCCCTTTAGAATAAGGAGTAGATGCCCCATGCCACCCCAGAAAATGCCTAGAAAGAATTTACAGAGGACTGCAGTGAGATCCTGTTCCACGCGCGGGGGAGTTTTGTGATCTCCTCAGCTGCTGACTCAACGTAAGGTAATGGGTTTTTGGGGCTTGTCTCTCTTCACTGTGCATCAGTCCCTGTCTCAGAATCATGGACAGAGACTGGATCCTTCATCTGGACTCACCCTCTCATGCTACTTTGCTCCTGATGATTTTTGCCACAATAACCCCTTTATCGTGTTTGCTTTCATGGGCTTTAAACTTGGCAACTGCTCCCAGTGAAATCTTTCAGGAACAGACGATGCTCTCAGTTACATGGAGGCAAATCCAGACTGATGCCCTGGATGATATTCATGTGAAGGGAGTAACGTCAGATTTGCATCGTGTAACTGACAGCAGAATTCGGTCCATTAGCCGTGTGTACCTGTTTGTCCGTACAGGCAGGAAACGTCTCTGAAGAAAGCCGGCTACTGAGTTAAACCAGATCACTGGTTTTGTGAGTCTGTGATGCCTCCTTCTAATCAAAATCTGCTTCTCAAAGCAGTTCCCCCTCATAAAATGCAGCAAAAATTACTTCTAATATTGTATTTTTCGCTCACACCCCATTGTCACACTCATTGCTCTAATTGCTTTCCAGCCCTGCAGTCTTTTTTGTATGTGATTGTGTTAGGTTTGCAACTTTCCAGCCTACCGGCGTATGACATGGGCTTTCCCCCAAAATCACTTGTTTTGCCACAGGCTCTAGCTCGACACGTGCCAGACCATCGGGGCGAACCGCTAGACGGATGTCAGAGGCGGGGCCCGCAGATTGTGCATGGTCTTGTGTGCTGAGCATGACCTGGCAGAGGTCTGTCTTGGCTGCTACTTTTAGCCACGCTCGTTAGCGCAAAGCCAGATCAGGTGTGCCTGCAGGTGCTGCCGCTCTCCTTCGACTGCCGTGTAGACGTACCTAAGTCTGACCGGTGTCGGTCAGGAAGCACCACTGCAATCAGTGATGGGCGAACCAGGCCCAAGTTGTCTCAAGAGCATCTCAGCACACAGGGCGTGGGATGGGGAAGGCCGTATGATGCATGGGCTTGGGAGACCCCTTCGCTGGTCTCCTGAATGAGGCCCAGTGCATGGAGAAGAACATTCCCCGCAGCCTGGCAAGTCTGCAGAGGGATTTACCTGTGAGTGTGGCCCGGGTGGTCATGCCAGCGCTGCGGGGCACCAGCATCTCGTGGTACTGCTCGCCTGCGAGGGTGCTGTACACCACCTTGTAGGTCTGTACCTCCGCCTCGCTGTTGTCCCACTCCAGCTCCAGGCTGGCCGACGTCCGCAAGCCCACCCGCAGGTTCTTGGGCGCGTCGATCTCTAGACGAGAGAAGAAAAGAGAAGAAAACGAGAGCAGCTGCTGTGTGTCTGGGATCACAGCCGAGACAACGCTTCCACGCGAGGGCAAGGAATGCAAGCTGGGCGCTGGCGAGGCCAGGAGATTCCACAGCTCGAACCTCTCTAGTCCGGCACCCTCAGGGCTGCCTGATTGGCACCAAACCAGAGAATTTGCCAAACCACGGGAGGTCAATACTGTAGCAAGTCTCTCCGTACTGATGCAGCCTACGGCTACCCAAGGCTTATCAGCTCTCTTCATAACAAAGCGCTAGTGTTGTTACACAATTGGACTGTACTGGCACAAGGAAATAAGTAGATCAAACCCAACAACATGCTCGCGTTTAGCAGCATTGCCGACACTTCCACGGCTTGCCGGGCACTGAGAAGACGTTTTGGGTTAAATTAGAACTAAAGAACAGTGCAGAACACTGAGGTATATCTAAACTACACCCCTCTGTCAGCAGAGGGATGTAAATTAGCTGTATCGAAAGTGCAAATGAAGCTGGGATTTAAATAGCCTGTGTTTCATTTGCATAATGGCGGCCACCACTTTTTTCCGAAATGGGGCTTTTCGAAAAAAATCCCCCGGCAGTTTAGATGGGGCATTTTTGACAGAAATGCCCCATTTCGAAAGATCCTATACTCATTTTTTGAAGAGTACAGGATCTTTCAAAAGGGGGCATTTTTTTTTTTCAAAAAGCCCCATTCCGAAAAAAGCGGCGGCCATCATTATGCAAATGAAGCGCGGGATATTTAAATCCCGGCTTCATTTGCACTTTCGATACATCTAATTTACATCCCACTGCTGACAGAGGGGTGTAGTTTAGATGTAGCCTGAGAGCCAGGACTGGGGCTGTAAACAAACTTTATGGGACCGCAGGAAACTTGGGCACACCCACGATAAGTGGACATCTGGTTAACTAAAATCATGCCGGAGCAGGGATGTTAGTAAATCGAAGGCTGAGAGCCCCCCATTGGCGCCGATACTCCTACTTACAAGGAGTAAGGGAAGTCGACTGGAGTAGTTGCTCCTGTTGACCTCCACATGTGAGGGTGGCACTGAAGCTCGACTTAAGGTTTGTCGACTCCAGCTACATATTTTACGTAGCTGGAATTACAGACCTTCAGCCGACCTTCCCCAGGGTGTGGGCTGAGCCTCAGTAGACCTTGTCTACCTATATATTTGTTTTGTTTTTGGAGGGATTTTTTGATCCTAGCATCTCTTCGAGATAATACAAGGAAAGGCAAATTCAGCAGCTTGATAGCTCTATATAGCTCATTCTAAAAATATACAGTAGACACTACATTCGCTGTCCTACAAGCACTGGTATCCACCGATAATATACATGACAGGTAATTTATAAACCATAAAATAGCACTGAAATATGCTCTCTAGCTTCTCCTTTATGGCGTGGTAAATTAAACCCGTTCGCCCTTCACAAGCTTAGCATCAATTAGAGTTTTACCGACTGGGTAGAATATTCGTATAAAGTATAAAACCAAGATAACCAAATTTGTAACTGTGTCCCTGTCAGCTACGTGACAGCAGATTGTCTCAGGGTGGAGGATACACCCCCCCAACCTTCTCTCTCTCTCATTGGGAATAGATGGGGCATTCCCCCCTCCCTCCTCCCAAAAAAGGTGCCTAAAAGCCTTCTTTAAAAAAATCTGGGGTTTTTTTAGTTAGTTAAAGACCCATGCCAGAGCCTGCTGTCCCACTACCCTAGGGATGAAGCCCAAAGCCTGAGCTCTGTTGCCCCTGGAAAGTTGGGGAGCTGCCTGCTCCCCCAGCGCTTGCCCCAGCTGTCTGCAGAAAGCTCCAATCACAGCCTAGGAGACTGTGGCTGCCCGAAAAGCCCCTCATGGCAGTCTGCGAGAGACACTGCTATAAACCCACACCCTCGCGATGGGCTGCCATGCGACAGGGCTGGGGGTAGAACTAAAACATGGGTCTGAGCTTTGGGGGCCCAGGCGTATGATGTACCCTCACGGAAATGAATTCCTGTCCCTTCTTGCACCTTTCAGCCAACCGATGTCTCTGGGTTACGAAGTGCTGCCTTAGCGCAATACTTACTAGGCAAAAATCAGCACAGCTCCATTGACTTCAATAGAACTACACTGATTTAAGCCAGCTGAGATTCTGAACCCTTGTGGAGCACTGTAGACGTAGGATTTTTTTCCCCCTCCTGACAAATACCTATTGCAAATAGGACAGGCAACCAGATTCTGGAGATAGAAAGATGGCCGTGTATACGCTGCACAGTACTGATAGATGGCTATGTACTGAAGAGGAAAACATACAGAGATACTGAACAGAGCTGCCAGCCTAGAAAGTCCTTCGCCCAAAACGTGTTTACCCTGACGTGCTGCAAAATCAGAGATTATGCAGTGAGTCAGAGCGGCACAGTACAGTCGTCTCCAATTGAACGTTGCCGTAAGAAAGGCTCTTGTGGAGCTCCATGGTGTTGGTTCGGTGGTTCATACAGGCAGCCGCTGGTAGCAGAGGAGTGAGGGGTCGTGTCTGGTTACTGCTCTAGTGCGCGGAGAAGATACAGGGCGTGACCTCTGAAGGAAAGAGGCTCCGCTCCTATCATGAGCAGAGGACGGGCATTTAGTCTGGCAGTGTTGTCTGTCTGTCAGGCAGTGTGTCCTTTAAAACCAGTTGCCTACCCAGTCTGTCAGTCCATCAACCGGCCAGCCAGCGGGGTGTGTCTGAGTCTGTCAGTCAGTGCTTTAGCCTGTTGGTGGGGTCAGGCAAGCAGAAGGTCCTGGTAAGCCTGTCGGAAAAGGAGTCAGTCTATTTGTGAGGGCAGCTGGTCTCAGCCTGGGTGTCACCGAGTCAAGTCAGTCTGTTCGTCGGTTATCTAGTGAGTGGGCCTGTTTGTCTGGTGTCTGGCTGGCTGGCTGCGTAGCGCACCAGACTCTGGCCAGCGGGCTTTTCAGTGGCACCAACGTACCTGTCGTGAAGGTGGTGACAGCAGAATCACTCTCGTTGGTCCCTCGCACTGCAGAGATGGAGACGTCGTACCGCGAGCCGGGCCGCAGGGCCTGCATGGAGTACTGGCTGAGGGGAGGCTGCAGTCGGAACGTGGTCTTCCCCCCTTCCCCATTCACCAGGCCGTACTTCAGAAGGATGTAGTCTACTTTAGCTCGGGGCGGGGTCCACTCCACGAAGGCGACTGTGTCTGAAACGTCTCGCACCAGGATTTGCGTGGGCCCGTCAATTACTAGATACCAAAGAAGCATATTAGTTGGGGGAGTTAAACATAGACAGAAAATTATTTAGATAATGGCATAAGGAGTACGCTTATGAAATTTGTGGATGAGACCAACTTAAGAGGGGCTGTAAACGTTTTGGAGGATAGCATTATAATTCAAAATGATCTGGGCAAATTGGAGAAATGGTCTGAAGTAAATAGGATGAAATTCAGTAAGGAGAAATGCAAAGTGCTCCACTTAGGAAGGAGCAATCTGTTTCACACATACAGAACGAGAAGTGACTGCCTAGGAAGGAGTCCTGTGGAAAGGGATCTGTGGTCATAGTGACCACACGCTAAATATTAGTGAGACACTAGTGCAAAAAAGCCGGTTGTACCAGTGAATTGTCTTCGCTGTCAAAGAATTGTGCCTGAGTTCTAGTCTGAATGTGTCTAGTTGCAACATCTAGTCATTCTGCCTGTCCTGTTTTTTTCTGCTACGTTGGCACCTTCTGCTCCTCAGGGTCAGTTCTTATAAAGTACGAACATATCACCCCTTCCCTTTCTCTTTGTTCAACTAAAGAGGCAACTCCTCCATGGTCTGTCACCTATAAAGCATGTTTTCCGGTCCTCGAATCACCCCCCTTGCTTTTCTCTGAGCCGTCTCCAATTGAACTGTGGGCTCAAGAACTGGACACGGGGTTCCAGCTGCGGTCACCTTCCGGGCCAAATACACAGAAAATATCCCCTCCCTATTCCCGCTTAATATTCCTGTTTCTACTTCCAAGGATCATATTAGCCCTTTTGGCCGACAGCACTGCAGAGGAAGCTTGTGCTTAGCTGATTACCCACCATTACCACCAAGTTCCTTTCAGAATTGCTGCTTCCGCGATCCTGTAAGTAAAGCCAGCGCTCTTTATTCCTAGATGCATGACCTTTGGTCATATTCAAATGCATCTGATTTGAGCTCCAAATCAATGACCTCTTCTCGTCACTATTTACTGCTTCCCCTATCTTTGTGTCATCTGTAACCTTTACCAGGGATGATTTTATGTTTTCTTCCAGATCTTTGGTTAAAAACATTAAATAGCCTTGAGCCAAGAACTGATCCATGCAGGACCCCACTAGAAACATCCAAGCTTAACGATAATTCCTCCTTTCTAATTACATTTTGACACCTGTCAGCCAATTTTTAATAATCTTAATCCAGGGTTTGCAGGATGAGTTTCCAGGGTGTTGAAAATACGAGCAGAGTTGAGAAAACAACTAGTACTTTCCAGAGACTTTTGAAAACGTGACGTTTGTGACAATATCCCAGAGGTTCTCCCCATCCTTTGAAAAAGAGAGAGGACTTGTGTGACGTAGTGGGGGTACCTTGCTGGGGCTGTAAGCGACCTCTGCTGTCTGTAGCACGACTCAGCAGGGCAGGGGGTGAGTCATTATGCAAAGGAGGCTCCAAACCTGTCTGACCAGCTACCCCCCAGGGAGAGAAACAAAGGAAGGTGGAATGCCGCTCCTGGCTGGGGGCCAGGGCTGGAAGAGAGTTAGTTAGTTTCTGTCTGGGAAGCAGGGGAGAAGGAGCTGGGGAGGGGAGCTGGGATTATAGGGCCCAGCCACACCCCATCTCAAGGGGGGGGGCACTGAGGCCTCTTAGCCCCAGTTCCTGTAACCAGATGACATCGGTGCTGTGCTGTATCCTGGAGAAGCAATAACTCCCTCTATTCTACTGGCTGGTGGAGTCTGTTCGTTCCATTTCGGGGGGGCAGGAGACGGGAAAACCCCAACGCGTCGTCACAACTTGTAGGCTGATCTTTAGAACGTGGAATGATTGGGCTAGAACTCTCCAAAGAGAAGCAATGCCTCTTGGGATTTCCATTGCTCCCTTTTGGGTCTGGAAATCCCACAAGATTGTGTTGACATTTCTACTTCCTCTGGAAGAAATCCAGAAATGCAGGGACTGCGTGGAAATAAAAAAATAATTTAAAGGAAAAAAGCTACATGGTGAAAAAATTTGGATTCAAAGTCTGGGTCGATGCTGGTTGATTCTAAATTGCTTTGCCTGTCTGTAGGTATTGTAATGACAGGAGGCAAGCATCTGTGTGGTGTTCATATACTGTAGCAGCATTAACATGCAGGGCCTGCCGCGTGGCCATTTCTGAGTCTTTCTTTCTATCTGGGAATCTGAGACCTATTATCCAGGTTTATATTGTACGGGAGCTTGTTTGTTTTGTTTTCCTAGTGACAGCCCATGTTGTATTTATGTAGCTAGTATTAAATATGCTGGTTGTGAAGGCCAGGGCTTAGTTAGGGCACGTGAAAAATGTTCTTTTTTTCAAGTGCATTTTGAATGTTGGACAGATTTCATCAGATAACAGACACGGAATATATAGACACCCAAAGGCGGCTGGAGTGTTGGAGTTATTTAAGAAGTTTCCTACACACACACTTATTCAGAAATAGCTCTTCCTGATTAGCTGCGGGGGTGGACGCTTTGATTCCAAAATAGAGTATCTCATTCAAAATGAGTTCAGTGGATTAAGATTGTGGGTGTTCTGTTCCTGGGCCACGAATCCGATGCCTACCTGTCCCCCATGCATTGCTGCTCAGTGTACCTAAAAAAATCAAGGGTTTTTGGCCACAGAAACTGCAGTTGTGACAGCAGAAACAGCGAAGCTTGTATTTTTGGCTTGGATATTCCATGGGAATAGCCCACCCGTCTCCCTCATGCACCTTTGCAAATTGTAGCCTGCATGTGAACCTTTAACGCGCAAGTGCTAATGGACTGTAACTTGGTCATCAGTCTGTCTAGAATTTTGTGAATTCCTTGTGGCAAAACTTCAGGGAAGAAAGTTTTTTCAACTCCACTGGCCAAGGTATCCAGGTTCCAGCCAGACTAGGGTGTCTCAGATCTTGGGAGCCTGGATTGCGCAATAGCTTTGGGTGGAAATCATGGGAAATCCTGTTTGTGCTCAAACCGAGGACAGTTCGGCTGAGCTTCATGATGGGACTTTGGGTTCATTGCCTCTTGAAACCAAATGGGCAGGATCCCACTGGAATCCCACCCTCCCATGAACCAAAACAGGAAAGAAAAGCGTGCATGAGAGATCGTCCGCCTCCTCTCAAGATTCAAAAATCTCTGGAGTGTTAGAAGCAGTCCTTTCCAGACCCAGATTCTGTGGCTAATCCCCTCTCTATATAATGGGTGGGCTAAGCCACACCAAACGAAATCAACTCTCCCCCAAATCGAATCCCTCACGTGTTGGGGCAGCTGGGACCCATCTTTACGTAGTCAAGAACCACACGTGTTGAGTGAGAGGCAGGAATCAAGAGGTGAAATCCTGGGGCATATGTATCACAGGAAATCGGACTAGATCGGGGTGGGCAATAAATTGGTGGTGATTCACCAGGGTTAGTCCCTGATGGGCTGCTGCTGCTATATTTACCTGCCCCGCCACAGGTACAGGCGATGGCAGCTCCCGTGGCCAATGAGAGCTGCGATCCACGGCCAATGGGAGCTGCACAGGTGCAGGTAAATACAATGGTAGGGAGGCTCACCAGCAGCTAACCCTGGCAGACCAAATCCAGCCTGCGGGCCAGTATTTTCCCACCCTGAGCTAGATGATCACAATGATCCGTGCTGGATGGAAGATTTATGAATCTACTAATCTAATTTGCGTGGTCCCTTATGAACGGAAACCATTTGTGTTTGAGGCTGCTCTACTCGCAACAGCTTCCCTAGTTAGGGGAATGGAAATGTTGAGTCATGACCAATAGGTGTCTCTGTTAAGCCACATCCTACAAGCGGGGGCTAAGCACACACACACACAATGCCAAAGGAAAGACTTTGTGTGTGTTTGCGGAGATGAAGGAGACCTCGTCTGCACTGAGGTGATAGAGTTTCTAATGTTAGAAAGACCCTCCTGTGCTGACAGCAGAGACCTCTCAGTTGTAGTGCGCATTTTAGGGTACGTTTCCTAGCAGCCTTTCAGTCTCCAGATCCATTAAAGCCCTAATTAGCAACCTCATTAGACCATTGCAGCTCTGTCACCGTTTCTGTCTGTAAGTGGTGTGGCTGGAGGGAGCACTCGACGGGCTTGCCAGGATTGAGTGGGAACGTAGATGTGTGCTTTGCCCCGTGTTACATTTGACTCCGCCTCGAAAGGGTTCGTTAGCGGTGTGCAGGCCCAGAACATCTACTCTAGTCTGCTGTCGGGGGGTGGAGGTGGGGGGCGGAGAAGGAGGGAACAACTGACGAGGCTTGTGGCTGGTATAAAATATTGGGTTCTGAAGAGACCTGAATCCATCAATGTTAGCCAAGGACCCTCAGCATCGCTCAGGCTTTGGACCTTAATCTGGTACCTGGGTGTGCTGGGTGGGGACTCGGTTGGGGAACTGGGAACGCTCAGCCTCCATCTCAGAAACGTGCCTAAGGTGAGCTCATGAGAGGGGGGTAATTTCCTTGCACAGAACAAGAACGGACCTGAGCTTTTACTTAGAGCCAAAACTGGGTCTTGTTCAAGCTCAGTTTCTCCAGGCTTCCCTGGCATGTGCATCATGCCAGGAGCGGGAGTTGGATCTAGCGAGGTGCACAGAGCTTCCCTGCTCTGCATATTTGTTCCTAG